GCCGGCTGGAGACGCCCGGAGCGTCTGTTGGAGGTGGAGGGGGGATCAGGGGTCGCCAGGAAGGGGTGGGACTTTCTCCCGGCGAAGCTCAACATCCCTCGCCCACGAACGGGGACTGCCTGCCTCCCCCGGCCTCTCCCCCTGGGGTCTTTGTCGGCTGGGGAAGTGGCCGAGGAGAGCGCCGGTTTCCACCTGGAAGGGAGGGGCCCAGCCGGCGCCCTGGCCACATTCAACATTTCTCTCCGTGGGGCACTTTAATCCACTTCCCGTTCTGCAACTTTCCGTCTCATTGCAAAGAGTACTCTTTGTTTAAATGTTATGGACAAAGTTGTCTCGGGGTAGTGCTGGGGATGTCTCTATGCGGTGAGACATATTTCCTGGATTAAAAGGGAACACCTGCTCCCCCCCCCCCTCCCCGAATTTCTTCTCCCTTTTGATACTTGGAAACGGAGGACTAACCCAGCCCAGTGTGCGCCACACCTGTGACATGCTTTCCGGCGATGGAAGGGGAGGAAGGCCTGGCTCTGGAGCTCTAACGCTAACCCTTCAGATCCTAAGGGGTAGCCTTCCAGTCGGGACGCCTTAAAGACCACCCTCTCCAAATGCTGGGAAAGGAGAAGACCCAGTTCCCCACCTCCGCTCCAGCCCCTTTTCATCCTCGTCTGTCTGGTCGGGGAAGTTTACCTTGCGCTCTAACTTTTTTCTTTTGTCCTGCAGCCTTAGCCTCTTGCCCTATGTGGGGTGAGAGGCCTGAGCTTTTCTAAGGTGGGATAATGACTGATCTCCCAGAGCGGAGAGGAGTGGGTCCCGGTGGTGCTAGCTGACAGGGACTGTCGTCACTCTTCCTGCAGGGGGAGCTCCTGAGCCCCTGCCGCTGTGACGGCTCCGTGCGCTGCACGCACCAGCCCTGCCTCATCCGCTGGATTAGCGAGAGGGGCTCCTGGAGCTGTGAGCTCTGCTACTTCAAGTATCAGGTCCTGGCGATCAGCACCAAGAACCCACTGCAGGTGAGGTGCACGGAGAGGACTCTCGGGTTGGAGTAAGGGCCTTTCACCACTCAGAGTCAGGAACCCTCCGGGGAGCCTATTTCATCCATTTATTTACCCCTCCCCACAATGTCCTGACTTCCTGTAAATCCTCCCTTTCTTCACTTATTTACAATTCACTATTGCGTGCCACCTTTATTCCAGGCACTGTTCTGGGCACTGCACTGGGACAACAAAAAAGAAAAAGATAGTAACGTCAATGAGGACAGCAATTATGTAGTGTTTTCTGTGTGTCAAGCTCTTGGTGTGTATTAACTCTTTTAATCATCATCATAATTCTATTAGTTACATACCAGTATTATCCCCATCTTAAAGATTGGTGCACAAAGAGATTTGAAAACTTGCCCAAGGTTACTCAGCCAGGAAGTGATGGAGTTAGAATTTGGAATTCAAACCTAGATGGTCTGGCTTCAGAGCACTTGCCTGATCCTGCCTTTCTAAACTAGGACAGACACATGGTTTCAAACAACTTGAGCAGTGCCACAGTCTAGGTTTGATCAGGGCACAGAAGAGACAGGTGTTAATCCTGCCGGAAGGGTTCCAGGAAGGCTCCGGGAGCACCCTCCTTTTCAGGGCGAACCATCACCTGGCCCTCCATGTCTTTCTGTGACTCTTTGGAACCCTTTCTCCCACACAGTGGCAAGCCATCTCCCTGACAGTCATTGAGAAGGTCCAGATTGCGGCCATAGTTCTGGGCTCTCTCTTCCTCGTCGCCAGCATCTCCTGGCTCATCTGGTCCTCACTCAGCCCTTCAGCCAAGTGGCAACGACAGGATCTGCTATTTCAGATCTGCTACGGCATGTATGGCTTCATGGATGTCGTCTGCATAGGTGAGGGCACCTCTCCCCCTTTGACCTGAGGAGCAACTGCCTCTAACTCAGTGGTTCTCAACCTTCTGGCCCTTTAAATACAGTTCCTTATGTTGTGACCCAACCATAACATTATTTTCGTTGCTACTTCATAACTGTCATGTTGCTATTGTTATGAATCGTAATGTAAATATCTGATATGCAGGATGGTCTTAGGCGACCCCTGTGAAAGGGTCGTTTGACCGCCAAAGGGATCGTGACCCACAGGTTGAGAACCGCTGCACTCATACACTTAATTTTCCCTCCCCATTCCTTCAGCTTTATGGCCACATTTTCTACCACTGAGAGCCCTTAGGGCTATCTTGGTGCCCCTCCCTTCCGAGCTTCTCCAGGTCTTTTGCAACCCTGTCTCCTCACTCTGGAACATGCTTGCTTCAGCACCTCTGGCCTAGGTCTGGGCAGCAGTTGACCCTGGATATCTTATCCCTCTTGCTTAGGACTTATTGTCCACGAGGGCTCCTCTGTCTACCGCATCTTCAAACGCTGGCAGGCAGTGAACCAGCAGTGGAAGGTCCTGAATTATGACAAGACCAAGGACATAGGAGGAGATGCAGGGGGAGGGACGGCAGGGAAGCCGGGCCCCAGGACCTCACGGACGGGCCCTCCCTCTGGGGCCACTAGCCGACCCCCGGCTGCCCAGCGCATGCGGACGCTCTTGCCTCAGCGCTGTGGTTACACAATCCTGCACCTCCTTGGACAGCTTCGGCCACCGGATGCGCGTTCTAGTTCCCATTCCGGCCGAGAGGTTGTCATGAGGGTCACCACAGTCTGAACTGAACTCCAGGAGCGGGGATCTTGAGTCAATGCGTCGGCCAGAGATGAGCTATCATGGCTGCTGGAGGTACCACCTGGACCAGATGTTTGGGGCACACTGCTCCCACCACTGAAGATCTCTGTGGGCAGCCTCAAGCTGGAGACATTGTCTGGCTTCTGCCCACTGGGTGGAGTCACTTGGATGACATTCCATTCCCCACACTCATCCTGGGGCAGCCAGTGGGCAAGTGGGGAGAACAGCTTTTCTTCCCCAGAGAACCGTCCTTACCTCAGCTCCTAGGGCCTCCAGCCCCTCAACTCTACCATGGTGACTTGGTGAGGGGGAACCAATGCCAGAAGAAAGGGGCTGTAGACCCCGCCATTCACCACCCCATGGCCACAGGGCAGCTGGCAATAAGACTAGTATACATTGACCTCCCGTTCCCTGCATGAGGGCGGGGGGACTTCCCCTGCTCTGCCCCCCATAGCATGGGGGGAGGGCATAAAGAATCATTTATATGCACGTGGAGACTCCTTTCTCATCTGGGGCTTCTCTGGAGGGTTGGGAGGTGTGGGGAGGTTTCTCTGCAGAGGTTACAAATCCCAAATGCAGCAGTGGGTTCTGAATTGGAGGTGTAACTCCCACTTGCTGGTGAATAATTCATGTTGGCTGCTAGATGGCAATGCTCAGAGGTATCTAATGGGTGGACCTACCACCTCCAAGTTTGTGATTTACAAAAAAATCTCTCCACTGTGGTTTTCCTGTCTACCTCATAGGGTTGGAATGAGGATAGAGAAGGGGCAGGTTGCGCCCAGCCGGCATGGCTCAGTGGTTGAGCATCGACCTATGAACCAGAAGGTCACGGTTCGATTCCCGGTCAGGGCATATGCCCAGGTTTCGGACTCAATCCCCAGTGTGGGTCTTGCAGGAGGCAGCTGATCAATGACTCTCTCTCATCATTGATGTTTCTATCTCTCTCTTCCTCTCCCTTCCTCTCTGATATAAATAAAAATATATTTAAAAAAAGAAGAAGGGACAGGTTGAATGCCATTGCAAAGAAAATCAATGATGGCATAAAATGATTTATACTGTAGATGATGGTCCATTTATTTCAAATAATAGCTGGTTAACAAATTGCAAAATGTGTTTTTCATCTGGAATTGCACAGAGCCTTGGAAATGTGTGTTGAGTGTCATAGATATGTAAATATGAGGGAAACTAGACATTGCAAATGTGAAGGATGGTGGTTATTTGTAAGAATGAGAGCTCCTCCAATGCTCTACACGTGGGGGCAGAGGAAGGCTGGAGCTCTCCTTGCTCTGGGGATCATTTGGATTCTTAGTCCTTCTCAGGTACTGTGCTCACCCGGAGAAGTGGTGTGAAGTGAATTTGGACTTATTTGGAGTGAGATGGACAGAATCCTTCCATGATATGAGTCTCCAGCTTATACGTCTGATCCTGCTGTGTCTCAGCTAGTGGTATTAACTGGAAGTATTGTGCTTGGAGACAGCAGCGTAGAGGGCAGTTGTCTATAGAGAAAGTTTGGGAAGGACTGGTTAAAATGTGGATCAGCCTGAAGCCTCAGCCCTTTCTCCTGAGGTCTTGGAGCTGTGTATTATATGAATGATGGTATCTTTTAAGTGAACTACTCATCAGCAATTAAATTAATTACTTCACACTTTGCTAAAGTCAGATCCAGAGGCCTTTCCTATTATTAGTTCTTCTCTCAGAGAAGGTCTGCTCTATATGCTCCCTGGGGATGTTTTGGGGAAAATGCTTATCTGCTAAAGATCACATATCCTTGCCTGGGTATTGGGGTCTTCGCTGCTGTCCATGGTGCTAGCACCCAGACTTGCCTGGAGGTTTAGATACCAAAGTCACCTGGTAGTGTAGGACTTGTATCACCTCCAGGAATCAACATGGAGAGGGAACTGAGGCTGAGCAATATCCCACTCCCTCCTCCCCCATTTTCCAGTGGAAAATTGTTTCTCCAGAGAAGTAACCTTCCACATTCCCTACTTGAGCAGACAGAAGAGCCAGACTTTACTGATTTGCTATTCACAGGATAGCTGGTGGGGACCAGCTGTCAGATGGGAGACAGCAAATCAGAGTGACTACTAGTGCCTATCATGGCAGATAGGGTTCAGGTAGGTACCACATAGTTGGGGTTTCCTGTGCCAAGCCTGGGCTGCCCCCTGGCTGCCCCCATGTGATGGCCCACATGGAAATTTAAATAATCCCAAGATCATAGGCACACAAACACACTGTCTCCATTTGGACTCTAGGTCCTAAAACCAAGCCAAGTGAGACAGTATATTCCTCTTCCTTTCAGTACCATTAGATGTCTTGGTATTGGGTTGGGACCAGCAATCAGCACTCCGCTATCCTTCCCTTTTCCACCTTAAAGAGAATCTTTTCCAGAAAAGGGGTCATAGTAACTTGCCATCCTCCAGTGAGCAGTCCAACTTGCCCAGTGGGGAGTGTGGGTGCCAGAGCCTGCATCACTAAGTCCAGGGGGAAGGGTCTGAGAGGAATTGGGGCTTTATTCTTTCAATGCTCAAGTCGGCGAAAAATCAGGTCACTGAAGTTTGGGTTGAGTTTAGTGATAGGGGGATGGGGATAGGGATCGAGTATAGTACAGGAATTGAGAGAAGGGACAGTAAAGGGACAATCTGCCCCTCTGTAGATTTTACATAAATAGATAACTCCCCAGAAGGCTTGGTGGCTAATGAAATTTCTGTGGTCAGGGAGCCATGTCTAGGGCAGGGGGCTGAGGTGGTGGGGAGGAGGAGGAAATGTGAAGTGAAATCTCCATCTACATCTGGCTCATTGGAATGGGATGTGGAGGGAGCAGGAGGGAGGAGGACAAGTCCTGACACGGAGAGGGTAATCTGGGCTACCCTCAGAGGGAGCTGTGGGGAGTGTGCTGAGAGATTGGTTTATATGGAAGATGAGTTCATCTGTATACAGCACAAGGGGAGGGCTGTGCCCAACTTCTGGGGGGCCAGGGAGTGCTGACTCAGGGAAACAGGCTCCCTCTGCCCAGCCCCTCTCTGCCTTGGTGCCCCAGGGCTTCTGGCCACCCCCACACTGAGCTTTCATCCTGTCTGACTTCATTTCTCTGGTTGTATCCCTGTCTTTCTCCAAAGGAAAAGACCTTGGAGCAATTTTCCCAGAGAGGTGAGAGTGGCCATTCTAGGATGTCCTTCAGTCCAGGTTGGAAAAGCACTTCTACCAAAGAGTCAGCCGCCTCTGGCCATCTCTGTAAATCCCTAGCTCTGGCCCTTTTTTACAGCCAGCCCTGTGGGTACTCCTCACCACCACCCTCTTACTCTCCTCCAGGGAGCCAGACTTGGCTGTTCCCACTCCAGACAGAAACGTGTCTGGGTTTGTGATGCAAACCCCTCTTCCAGGTGTCTAGACCTCCCATGTTATGGGGTCAATCCCAGGGCCTGAGAAAACAAGGTCAGGGATTTGGGTGAGGGTCTTGCCTCCAGGTCTTGTAGGAAGTGAGAGTGGGAGAGAAATAAGTCAAAAGTCAAGGAGGGAACATTCAAATAATTTTTATTTCAAAACTATGAATATTTAAAAATAATATGCAAAAGGAAGGCATATACAAGGAAAGGTGCAGAGATGTCTCTGTCTGGGAACTAAGTCAAGCCAACTCAATAGTGACCAGAGAGGCGAGGATCATTTTTAAAAAATCATAAACCAGGCAAAGGCAGATTCACCCTTCTAGAGGCAAGGTGAGGAAGGAACGGGGTAGGCAGAGGCTGGTAAGCTGCTCCCCACTTCTGCCACATGGTCCAGATTCAATCTGAGATTTTGCGTGTCACCCAGGGACAGGCCCTGGCAGGGGTATAAACACTGAATAAGGCCTCATCTTTCCTCTCAAAGAGCTCACATGCAAGGAAGACGAACCAGGTGCAGACCAGATGCACAATTACTTAGCTCATGTCATGTAAAGAGCTAGTCAGCAGCATCTATGAACACTGTGGAGCCCCCAAAGGGCGGTGGTGGAATTCTTCCTCAGGTCACCCAGCGTTATTAATTAAAAGTCTGAGTTGGCCCTTGAAGGATGCATATGATATGATCAGGAAAAGGGCTGAGCAGCAGAGGGACTGTGGTTTTCTCCGGGTTTCCTGCTGGGTCAGGCCAAATGCATACTTCACACCTTGGCCAGGACTGCCTCAGACCCTTTGCTATGATCATTCTGACTAGTGTGATGACGTAGACAGGTCTCAGGGGAAATACACATCTCTTGGTCTTGTGCCTAATAAACCCCTATGATGAGAGAAAAGGTGGTAACAGCCTCCTTCCCCAGGACTATCTGTCCACAAACTGTAGGTTGATGCTCCTCTCAGGTACCAGGACAGTCCGGGTCATGGGTCTGATTGGGGCGGCGCCTGGCTCAGGCTGTACCTCAAAGTGGGTCAAGATCTGAAAAGTGAGGAAGAAAGCTATCATTATGGGAGGAGTCTACAATGGTGGGCTGCTTTGGTCATGGGCATTATTTGTGGTAGAATGGTCAAGGTTGGTAGTGAACTTCTTGGTTAATCAGGATAAGGGACTATGGTAGAGAAATAGATAGTCCAAATACCCTCACTCACTTTCCAGGACTATAATGAGATTGACGTATTTAAAGCATTAAGTCTTAAATGTTCTCCTATGTTTGTCAGGAGAAGAGCTCACAGCTTGAGAGGGTTAGGGTCTCTCTCGTCTGGAGAAGGTCTAGATCACTCACCTGGGCCAAAGCCATTTGCAGCTCAAGTTCTGCCAGACGTCTCCCCATGCAGCTGCGCTTGCCGAAGCCAAAGGGAAGACAGGCAAATGGGTGGGGGGCTGGACCTTCCCCCAGCCAGCGCGCTGGGCGAAAAGTATTTGGATCTGGGAACTGGGCAGGGTCCCTTGAAGTGGCATAGTGACACAGAGTGACCAGCGTCTGGTGACGGAGGAACACAGACTTGTCAATTCGGACCCAGGAATGCAAGGAGAGACATGGAGAAAAGACTATATGGACTGGGATGAAGGCAGGCTCTAGTAGGTGATGGGGAAATTTTCTGTGGCTGCTTTTGAAATGATTTCTCCACTGCCCCATTATATCCCAGAGAGAAGCATTCCGGTCAAGGGAAGGGTTTGAAGGGCTTATGGAGAGTTGAGAATGGGATCAGGGCCAAGATAGCGAGGGATGGCTTAGCAAAATGGACCCATAGGCTCTACTCACATTTCTGGGGATGATATAATCACCTACACGAATGTCTTTATCTGGAACACGGGAATTTCCAGGTACTACGGGGTACAGTCTGGGTGGCAGAGCACAAGGAGAGACAGGAAGGTGAGGCTGGGCCGTTAGCCTCCCTCTCATGCCAGCAACTTCCAAACCCATTCTTGGCCAGGAGTAGAGTACAATTTTCTCCACTTTCTCCCTGCTCCCATCGACTGTCCACTTTCCCAGCCCTTCCCCAGCATTTTCTCTAGCTCCTTCTCTCCTTCCCCCTCACCTTAGCACTTCCTTGAGGACA